AGAAGAAAATTTAATGACTATTTTTATAGCTACCATGATTGAACTAATATTAAATGTTCTGATTGTTTCTCTGGAAATAAAACAACACAGACACAAGAAGAGCCCCCTTTACAACTCTTCCTGATGACATTTGCCTCCTTCCCTCCTTTGTTGCCTACGGTAACCACTGTCCTTTCTGTAGTGTTAACATTTTACCACATACACATATGTCCACATAGAGTAAACGGTAGCCGTGTTGTGTTCATATTTGAGCTACCCGCATATCATTGGATCATGGTGGCACAGTTTCCTTTCTCATCTTCTCTTTTCAGATTCCCCTTTGAAGATGGAATTACCTCTCAAGTTTGTCACCCTGTAGTGTAAACCTTAATAACAGAAAAGTATTATTACTGACGACTAGATTCTACTCACACACCTTTACCTGTACACCTGTTTCTCTCATAGGGAGCATTTTGCTGTGTATATTGAATGGCAAAGGAATGACCCACTTGTTTGTATATCTTTTATTTTTAAAAGTTAAATATTTTGAAATGTCAATCGAAGTGCATTATATAGTAGAAACTTTGCTAAACTAAAAACTGATTTAAAGAGGGCAGTCCAGCATTAATTCTTCATAGTAAACTGCAGACAATGTCTTTGTACTGGGAGGGGGGGGTGGATTCTATGGTCTCATGCTGGAGAGAATTCAAAATTTGGTTTGGAACCAAGGAACTCAGCATTTTCTGTGTTTGCTTACTATTAGTGTCTGGTTCCGTGATTGGGTGCAGACTCTCTTCAATTAACAAATGGCAGCAATTTTTATTATTTAGGTATTAGATTTTGTCTGAGCCCTTTGGACAACAGTTGATTCTAAACATACAACTCCCAGGCATCTATTTCTCCTCCATTTGACTTGTTAAGTTTTCATGGTAAAACTCATATTAAAGTTTATTTAAAATATTATTTGGAGGTCTGGCAAGGAGGGAGAAACAAATCATGGAGGAGGAAGATGGTCTCAATGAGGAAAAAAGTGAATATAAAATGTGTATAAAATGTAATAAAAAATAGAAGACTGATATTCTCTGGAAAATCAGTCTGAGCTGGTTTTTAAAGAAATGTGTTGTGAAGTTTGCTGGGCTGCTTCTGTCCTTCTTTGGAGGGTAACTATCTTTCATTTTTGATTTAATTGTTCAGAACATAGCAGTGTGATAAAAGTTTTTTATGGAAATTTCTCACAGTAACACAATCAATCATATTTCCAACTCATGTGCTGTCTTGAGCCCCTGAGCCTCAAAGACTTTTTTCTGGGGAGCTTACTTGTTAAATTAGCACTGATCAAAGGCTAAAACATTTATCATGCTTATTAGTGAATAAACCTAGCAGCAGGTATCCCAAGTGAGGAAGCAAATCCTCATTTCCTGCAAGAATGAATTGGAAATTATCCAAACTGCTTGCAAACATTTTTCAGGAGTGACGAATTGTCAAAAAGAAAGCAGCTGCTAGATGTGGCAGCAACCAAGGGTTAGAGGAAAAAAAGAGCTTCTTTCCAAGGTATCTTCAAACTAGCCCAGAGGGATGTTCTGCTGTTTGATTTACTCTAATTGCCTTTGAAATCCTGCATCAGCTGACCTTACCAATGAGCTCCGAAATAACACCCCGACTAAGACAATTTGGAAACTGCAAATTCCTCACCTTTGCTCTTCCTACCCCTTGTTGTTGTTATTGTTGTTTATACGAACACAAATTGACAAATACCAAACTGATAGACTTTTGTTTCCGTGTATTGCAAAATGATGCCCAGTGCTGGTGTTACAGGAACTACTGTCTCATTAGCATAATATAATCAGCTGGCGGATATAACAATGGGGAGAAATATGCACTGAAAAAATCTCTTTGCTGTTCTAAACTTTATTAATAAAAACTAAGAATGTCAAGATCCGTGACACACTTGGCTTTTACATCACATTTTAACAAGTTAAAAGTACTTAAAACTTGACTCAGGCAAGTGTGAATGAATGAATAAAATGTTTCAAGCTAAAATTAATCACAGAAATATATCATACAAGCATAGATGCTATTAAATTGTATATTTCTTTTACCTTAAAGCTGATGGCTCTGCAGGTGCATTCCCTTTGTGTCTGAGAATTATGATAAATTATTTGGTCCTTATAAAGATTATTCAAGAACAAGATAGACTCCTTCCTCTGCAAATGCATCCGAATTGCAATTAGAAAAGGAGGGAATCACTTGCGATGTATTTTTGGCAGACTTAAAATGTAAATATTTTGAGTCAGACACATGTGGTGATATCATCAAATATACCTGAGTGATGAAGAGCAATGTGGTATTGTGTGAAGGAGGTACTTATAAATAATTATAAATGAACAGACACCATTTATACTTGGTGCATTTAAATGCAAAGACACTTTATTGCTTTCCACATTTTCCTCCACTGGGAGAGGCTAACTATCCTCTGGATAAGTATAGGCACTCCAGTTTACAAAGGACACATTCCTCCACCTTGAGAAGCTATTTAGAACCTTCTGTTAATCCTGGAACTGCTGTACCTTTTGATCTGGTTTTGGGTACACTGCAGGTCTCTCTTTTCTCTTTGGTTATAATTGCACTCATGCAATTGAAACTCATTTAGGGGAAATGGGAGTCAGAAAATAAACAAGGCCTGTTTCTGGGTCAGATAATTTTTTTCTCTCTCATTCTAAGTAAGATTTCATGTTTCACAGTTTATAAAAATATCCAGAACTACATCTCTACCTTTCTGATAAATTCAGACGTTATCTATTTACCCCAGAGCTTTGGATGTGGGTTATAAGAAAGACTTTCTAGTTAATCATTTACTACAAGCATAGACTACTAGCTCCTTTGTAGAGTCTCTTGTCCCTGTAAGTTCCTTCCTGTCTACACTGATATCCTACTAAGCTAGGCCCTTATTAGTCATACCTGCATTCCTACAGTAGCTTTTTTGTTGTCTATTCCTTCTCTAGTTTCTCCCCTCAGGAAAAATATTGTTAAAATAATTTCTGTAGCCTAGCCGGTGTGGCTCAGTGGATTGAGCATCGTCCCATGGACTGAGAGGTCCCGGTTCCATTCCCGGTCAGGGCACATGCCGGGGTTGCCAGCTGGATCCCTGGTGTGGGGAGGGCAGGAGGCAGCCGATCGATATTTCTCTCTCACATCGATGTTTCTGTCTCCTTCTCCCTTCCTCTCTCTCTAAAATATCAAGAAAAACATATTTAAAATAACAATAATAACATAATTTCTATAGGTAGATCCCAGGGAGAAATATAGGAGCATATTCTTTTTCTGCCATTCAAGCACCAGTGATGCATTGTCACCTCACACGGTCCAGGTCACCTCTGTCATCATGACTGCTGCTCCTGCCTGAATGATTCCCTCTCCCTCTGCAAGTGTTGCTTGACTCATTCAGCAAGTACGCAATGAGCACTTACTATGTCTATATATGTGCACTTATTTACTTATTCTATCATGTATTCTCCAATCTTTTTTTTTTTCTTGCTGTTACTCTTTTTTTTTTTTTTTTAATTTATCTTATTGTGCAGAGTGTTACAGATGTGCTCCATTCCCCCCCACCTTTGCTCCCTCCACCTGCCACCCATCCCACCCCAGGCCGTCACCGGTCTAGTGACTGTCCACGGGCTATGCACATATGCATGCTAGTCCTTTGATTAATCCCTACCTGCCGCCCTCTCCCTCCTTCCTCTTAGGCCTCCTCTATTCCTCACGTCAATAAGAGGCATCTCCCTTTACTGCTATCCACCATAATTTTTCTCTTCACTAATATTCTCTTGTCTCTCAACTCACTACATTTGATTGACGCTATTTTTTTTTTTTTTATCCTCACCCGAGGGCATTTTTGCATTTATCTTCAGATAGAGCAGGAGGGAGAGAGGGAGGAAGAGAGAGAGAGAAGCATCGATGTGAGAGAGACATATCGACTGGTTGCCACCCAACGACCCCAACCAGGGCCAGGGACAAACTGCAACCAAAGTACGTGCCCTTAGTGGGAACCGAACCTGGGACACCCCCACCTTCGGGATGAGGCTCTAACAGCTGAGCCAAACTGGCCAGGGAGATTGAAGATATTTTTAACTACTTGTTTAATATCTCATTCTCTACAACTTAAATGAAAACTACTCAATGGTAGAAAATATACAGGGTGGTACAGAAGTAGGTTTACAATTGTTCATATGGAAAATAATACAATAATTAATGAATAATAAAATAAGACTAAATAAACTCTGTGTTTTGCATACTCACATCAGTAAGCCTACTTTTGCTTAACCCTGTATTTATGCTGAAAAAAAGGTATGTTGTGTGTGTGTGTGTGTTATATGCATAAATATATACACACATATATATATATTTGCTGTGCATCTGTGTAGTTATTTCCGTACGACAGATGGGGATTGCTGGATAAAAAAGAACATGCGTGTAAGGTTCTGATGACTACCCTTCAAAAATATTGTGCCTGTTATGCCCAGCTGGTATGGCTCAGTGGCTGAGCATTGACCCATGCACCAAGAGTCGCTGGTTCGATTCCTGGTCAGGGCACGTGCCCAAGTTGTGGGCCAAATCCCTAGTGAGGGGCATGTAGGATGCGGCAATCAATGTTCTCTCTCATCATTGTTTCTATCTCTCTCTCCCTCTCTCTTCCTCTTTCTCTAAAATCAATAAAGAAAAAAAGTTTTTATAATATTTTGCTTGTTAGTACTTCGAGCAGAGGGTTCAATGGTGCCCATCTCTGTACACACTTTTTATTTCTATTTCTTTATTTTTATTTTTATAATTCTCATCCTGGAATAGTTTTCCGTTGATTTTGATTTGTGTGTTTATTTTTTAAGGTTTTTTCCTATTTTTGTTTTATTTCTTTTAAGACCACCTCCTTGCAATTTCCAGAGAGAAAATACAAAACAAGGAAGAGACTTGGCTTTAAATACATAAACAGTGTGCTGGAGTTTAAAGCACTGCTGATAACCTTGTTCCAGAGGAATGTCAGCTTACTCCAGGGCACTTCAGTATTCCTGAGGAATAAACATGATTTCTCTTCTCTTCCCACTGGGATGTTCTCAGGTGTGGTCACTGCTCCTGCTTTTTGACATACTTCCCATGCCGAAGGTACGGAGCCTGGAAATTATGCTGACAATTGGAGTAGGCCATTCCCAACCCCATGCCAGAGCCAAAGGCTAGTGGCCACATTCTCCTTTGAAAGAAGGTAAGTGAGAAAACAAGTCCTAATCCAAAACCAGTACCCAGCTTGACGACTGTATCCGCCAAGCACCAGTCCCACTTCCTGCTGAGGTCTGACTCCGACATGTTTCCCACCCGGGGCTCCAGCTTTCCTCACGGTCTGGCCCCGCACTCCAACTCCCTAGGCGTTTATTTTTAATTTATCTTTTTGTTGAAAGTCTTATAGATGTCCCTCCTTTTGCTCCTCCATTGACACTCTCCTCCTCGTTCCCACCTCCCTCCTTCCTTCCCCACAATATTGTCTGTGTTCAGTGGTTATACATATATGCATATAGTTTCTTTGGTTTATCTCTTCCCTGCCCCAGACCCCTTTCTCTCTGAGGTTTGTCAGTCTGTTCCCTACTTCCATATCTCTGGATCTATTTTGTTCATTAGTTTAATTTGTTCATTAGATTCCACAAATAACGTGTGATATTTTTCTTTCTCTGACTGGCTTATTTCTCTGACTGGCTTATTTCTCTTAGCATAAAACGATCCAGGTCCCTCCATGTCCTCTCAAAGGATACAAGGTCTTTCATACCGCTGCATAGTATTTCATTGTATGTATATACCACAGCATCTTTATCCACTCATCTACTGATGGGCACTTGGGCTGTTTCCAGATCTTAGCTATTGTAAATAATGCCGCTATGAACATAAGGGTACATATATTCTTTCTGATTGGTGTTTCAGGCTTTTTAAGATATATTCCTAGAAGTGGGATCACTGGGTCAAATGGCAGTTCCACTTTTAATTTTTTGAGAAAACAACACTATGTTGTTTTCCATAGTTGCTGCACCAGTCTGCATTACTTTTCTAAATACCCAGGTGTTCAATAAAATCATGCTAATTGACTCATAAATATGAAGAGTATCAATTGATCCAGTGAATATATTGGGTTTAGAATCATTCATTCACATTTTGGAAGAATTATTAAATTTCTCTGGCCTATAGTTTCATCTGATGTAAAATTCTCTAATAACATCTTTGAAAGTAACAACTGTTCATCATTTCCAACCACATAAACTATGCTGTCCAAAATGTCCATTAGTGCTCATTGCTGGCATTTTTCTCTGTCTTGTTGATCCCTATTCTACTTTTCAGCTAGTACGAACTGAAGGCAGGAATGGAGGTATTGTTAATGTGTCATCTCAAATCCTAATATTACCTACCTTAGAGAATTTATATTAGTACCAAAAGTACCAAATACAATAGAATTTTAAAATTCCATATTTTGTAAACCCTATGATTATGTTAGTTTTACATTAGATCCAAGAATTTTCTGGTTCTTACAGTAATTGCTGTAATAAATGAAGGCCTCTTTGAAACACAAATACTATTGTTTTTTTCTGGTAAAAATGTGACCTGTAAGAGAAATAATGTTCTCATTTGTTTCCTGTTCACTTAGTTTTCAGCTCTTCTTTGACCATGAAGTAAAATTGTAGATTTTATGTTTGATGTAGTTTAATTTACTAAAATGGATAGTCATTGTTTTGAGTTACCATAGTTTAGACATCAAAAGTGGAGGTTGAGAATATGGTCATGCAGGCCAAACATGTCCCTTAAGTCAGAACAAGGAAAATGAATCAAATTCATTGGCCCTCCTTCCACAAAAAAAATTTGAGTGGCTGTCTTGCTCATCCCTTATACTTAGTGTTTACACCAGTTATGAGTTATATTAGAAACTTCTACTGTATTTTAATTGTCTGCTACATATTGGTTGTAGTTCTTAGGATTATAAATCTGTAATATTCCTTTTCATCTTTACTGACCAAGAATTAGAAACTAATCAATATATAATTATTGGTTAATAATTATAATCAATATATAATTAATATAATTATTGGTTAATGCCTATCTAAGATAACCTATGATGGAGCAAGACTCTCCTCAAGCATGACTTTGCTCATATACATTTCCTTTCCTGAGCTGTTGAGCACTCAGTTTTTCACTCCACTTCTCAAGCTGGAAGGTGGAAAGAAAAGTATGTATTCAAAAACATAACAAATATTAAAAATTTAGCAATACAAACAAACAGTAGATGTTAAATACAGGATGTGAAATGCTATAAAAATGAAGAAAATGTAGCTCTTAAACTCTTAAAATTTAATCAAATTTGTTTTCTGTTTGAAATTTAAATAGAATGTTTGGAGTTAGTGATGGATACAAGCTGAGAAGCAGCACTGGTACAAGAAAGAAATGGTGGGAAGGAGGAAGTTCAGAATCTCCATGAGAGAAAAACCATTTCCTGGTGGCAATTTAGTCCACCAGTGATCTCACTAAAGAACCAGCTCTGCATAATTATCAGGTTCCATGGAAGGTGACTATCTTTCCTCCTTTAAAGTCACACACACACACACACACACACACACACACACACACACAATCCCTGAGGCTTTATGCAATCTCAATTATCATTTTGAGCTATTTTAGCAAGCAATTGTCTTATTTGCCATACCTTCTGATAATAAAAGGGTACTAACATTGGGGGACTTGAATATCTTTATTTACAATATCCTTATTGAGAAATATCTCCAGAAAAATTAATCCTAGTATAAAATTTGAATTATTAATCACAAAGATAAAAAGCCAAGACAGCAATGATAACATATTTACCAAGTGAGTTTTACATGCATTTATTTTTTCTTAAAATTTCATTCTAACTCCTTTATACTTAAAAGAAAGCTACTTGTTTTGGTTTTTTTGTTTGTTTGTTTGTTTGTTTGTTTGTTTTTTAAGCATGGCATGAATCATCCATTTAATATATCTCCCTTCACAATATGAACTGCAGTACCACATGCCGCTCATGCTAGGAGAAACACACCATGATTTCTATCCCAGCTATTCACTGCCAGTGAACAAACCAAGGTACAAAAAGACAACAGAAAATGGATTTTTGTCAATTGGTGGTGAAATGAAATGAAATGAAAGCAAGAAATGAAAGCAGATTGGATAAGTAAAATGAATTTGATATGTGGATAGGGTATATCAATTTGAAATAGTAGTAACTAAAATGCAAGTGTTCTGTTTCATGCTAGTATATAGCAAACTTTGCACTATGGCATATTTAACCTACACTACAACTTTAAATTTTGGTAAAAATACAACATGTTATGTCCACAATCTTTTTTGAGTGGTAAAAAAACAACAACAGCAACAACACATGAGCCATCCAATCTTACTGATTGTTTAGTTTAAATATAACAATCTAGGGGAAAGTAACTTAACAAAGCATAAGATAACTTTAAATAAGTTCAAGCTGTGAACTAAATCACTTTGTAGCAAAAGTGCCCAAATTTTACATCTTGACTCACTACCTGGTGCCACATTTGACTTCACAAAGTTAGATATAAAATACCACTGATTGGAAATCCCACTTTTATTTCATATTCCAGTAACAAACAAAAAGAAAAACACTGCTAATTAGATTTGAAATAATATTTTCTTATGAGTTAGAATTTTTAGAATTTTTACTTTATCCTTATTGAAGGAACCACTTTACATTCAATTAGAAATAAGTATAGCAAAATAAATTCACTAAGGGATTTAAGTTATTCACATTTCGATTGAGGATACAGCCGCCTACTTTTCCCCCATACAACATAGTCTTTGGTCCTATCAAGGATATTTTTTTTAGATATTTCAGAAGGAACTAAGTGTCAAGGGAGAACTCTTAAACCAGCTTTGTAGTCATCTGCAGCTGGACTGTTTTTTCTTCCACCTTCAGCAATATTAACAAAAACCTCTGATTCACTCATGTTCAACCTTTCCCTACAAATATCTGGTTTCTAGGAGATAAAATCATGTTTCACAATTGTCTTTAAGATTTTCTTCCAAGACACTGGCACTTACTTTGCAAATTTTGATGTGGTTATTTTTATTTCCACTGAAGGACAAGACAATGACAGTCAATGGTATGTTGCATTCAGATATTAGAAATTGTTAAATTATAAAAGATCTGTGTCTTAGAATTGATTGGGTATATGGGTGTGTCACAGATGAAAATGGCTATGGTTATAGAGTGTGAATGTTAAAGGCTCACAAAGTATTGATTCTTTGGCTTGACCTTAATATCTTCAGACTATGTCATCCTTAACTATTTCTTCATTCATTTGCTCTGGGAACATTTAATGATCACCTACTATGTTTTCTGTGAGGCACTGGATGAGATAAAAGTCATAGTCTCTCTCCTTGGAGAGTTCTTAGCATAATCATGAAGAAAGACATTTTGAAAAAAATTACAGCTCAGAAGGATAAGCACTTTGCCAGAGGTAAAATCAGGCTTTATGCTCATCACTTTGAGAAGCATCTCATCAAGCCTGTGGAGAACAAGGTCAAAGGATGAGTTCTGAATGCAACAAAAACCTTAGATGAGTCAGGATAAAAACTTTGTTGATTAAAAATTAAAGAAATCAAGGATGTCTGATGATTAGGAAGAAGCATGAACATCTATGAATATGTTCAAAGGTATGAAGATGAGTAAAAAGCATGGTGAGTTCCAGGGACTGTAAGTATAGTAGCTTGAGGAAGCTGGAGAGGGAGGCTTTTGTAGGGTGTGATGATGTTATGGCCAGAGAGACAAGCCTCAGGACCGAGGTCACCAGCGTCTTTTTTCTAGTCCATAGAGTATAAATTTTATTTAAGAGTTTCTGAAGGATTTTAAAAAAGAATTTGGTCTACAATTTTATAAAGATTCACAGTTTATAAACTCATTAAACTAAAAAAGTCAAAGAGAGAGAAAATGTTTGGCTAATGTTAGCAAGTTTCTTGACCTCAGCTTCACTCTTTTCTAGCTTACAAATCAAAATGTTGCTTTGTACATAACTATAATTTTGTCTGATTAGAAAACTACAGAACATCTAGATGTGTGGGTGAAGTAAGCTTTATCTAGTCTACTAGTTTGCAAAATCACTGGACTAGATTCTTTATTCTAGTGAAATTTTATTTAAAGGCAAATATGTTAAAGGGATTTTTAAAGTGGGGAAACCCAAAACTAGCTGTTCAGTGAAGTTCTTGCACCAGTTTGAAAATAATTGCTTTGTTTCAAATCTTACAGGTAAGAAACTAAAGATCAAAATGGTCAACAG